TCTTAAGAACGATAAATTTCTTCTTCTTATTAGGTTAACGATAAATATCACTTTTTAAAATTTTATAAAAATGTAAAACAAAGGTCAGTCTATTTTTTTATTTTTAAGAAAAGTAATTGTGATGTTTTAAATTATTGAAGGGATAGGTAGCAGCACTTGTTGATACGATATCGATGAAAGTTCATGTCGATAAAACAGGACTTAGAAATATTTGTTGTAGACTATTGTTTAGTACTAAATTTTTGAATATTTTTATTGAGCTTAGATATTTCTTGAAACATTCTTGTGTACTTTAGTTATATAAAATAAAATTAATATAGATAATATAAAAACTTTATTGCAATGATAAAAATATGTATCTATAAAATTCATTTGAGATCCGTAGAAGATTTAGATATAAAAATTTCTTATGTACTATATACAAATATATTATGTAAACACTGCACGTTGCGATGAATGTTGCAGAACGTTTTGAAAATCAACGACTGGAATAACCATCAAAGGTTATCAAAATTGTGGTCTTTACCTTTGAAATCTTCTAATGAATTATATTTCACTTTTTCTGTTTCAGGTTGCATAGTAAGTAACTGTTTATAAAGATCTTTGTAATGTTTGAGTGCTTCGTCCATAACTTTACTGTTGTTATCTTGATGCATAGAAAAATTCTCAAGTAAATCACACATCTTGTTGCTTCTAGCGATATAACTTTCTAATTGATCTACCATAGTTAGTTCTTCTTTCAATGCTGCGTTTAACAAAGTAGCCTGGAAATATAATATGATAAAGAACCATATTAACGATGATGTGATGTTAGAATCATACATTATTTTTGCATACCTTCTTAGCTCTTTGCTGTAAAGTTTTTAAACGTTCCTCTAATAGTTCATATTCTTCTACGGTATATTGAACACTCTGGCATTTATCTTCATCTAACAACACATTTTTAGGTATAGAAATGTATTTCTTAACGATACTCTAAAAAGAAATCAAAGATATAGACTTCGCTACTTTTATAAAAACAAAAATAAAGGCTACAAATAACATAGAGTTATTCTAAAAAGAAATTAAAGATATAGTCTTCGTTACTTTTATAAAAACAAAAGTAAAAGCAACAAATAACTTTTTTTAAGTTACAGTTACCTCTATGAGTTTTAAATGCGGCATTGCACGTTCATTATAAGTTTGTATTAGCTTTTTTTTATTCTCCTTAAGCTCTTTTGACTCATCCTCATCACAATTGTATTTATCTTGCAAAGTTTGGCATAACTTATTACATGTTGATTCTATAGCTTCATAAACTACATTTTTCACTAAAAAAGAAGAAGAAACATATGGATATATTAAAAAAAGCTAAGGCATCGACAAGCGATTTGTATTTAGCAAAAATAAAAAGCTAGGATAAGTATAAATAATAAAATTGCAATTGAAAAAAAAAAGGAAAAAATAAAATAAAAATAAAAATCTCTACATTGTATCATGCTGGATAAGGGTAGAACAAATGGAGAAGGACATAAATATCAGAGGAATAATAAAATAAAATTTTTTATTTGAGAACAAAGCTGAATTTTAGCAAAAGAAAGAAAAATAAAAAGGAAAGTTAGTTTCAAAATTCAGTCGATGGTGTAATGCGTTTGGTGAAATTATTTCAAGCGTTGGACGAGTGTGACTCTAGTCATGATCAAAACTACATGACCCAGAGTTCACTCGCCCAACGACTGAAACATCATAACCCTAAATGGAAAGAAAAGACTCTTGTCTATGTAAATATCTCGTTGTCGGATTAAACAGGGAACGAAATAAACAGCGGCAGCAAAACAGCTTCATCATCGTGGTAGTTCTCTTACGTGTTGCATTAACGGCTCTCGAGTGAAAGCCCAACAGCTGCATTTCGTATTCTTCCTCTTTGCGTTTTTCAAATTCGGTAGACGCCATATCATTGTATTCATTCGAAATATGCATTACAATTTTATGCGATTATCTTTACGAGCACTTGTTATTCTTAATGACTGTTTTATTTTTTCTTCTTCCTTCTTTTTTATTCCTTTCTTTCTTTCTTCTAAAGAACAACCTCCTCTTCCAACGACCAGACACCTTGACGTCCGTTGACAAACGAAGATGGCGTCCTCTCTGCTTGCGCGTACAGAAGCGTCCTTTGTTCTCGTCGTTCCTCGACGCATCCGGTTTGATCCAACGCTCGTGGTGGGGTTTAGGACCGCTACGAGATGCCGACCAATCATGTTTTAGCTAAATAAAACTATGGAATTCCGTCTCTCGATATATAAGAATAATCCAATTTTAATGGCAAACTAATTATTTTTTTATACATAAGATTAACTTCATTTGTTTTTAAATTTTATTGTAAATCATTATTTGTGTCTATATATATATATAAAAATCATAACAATTGGTTAAATGATTTTTTTAATGATTACAGAAAAAATTATTAGTTCGGTTGGTAACGTTGCAGGTTTGTCCTTAATACGATAGTTACAAAGTCCTTTCGTTAGATGTCGACACTAGATGTTTGCTTACGAGGCACGTTTCTATATATTTTTCGCTTCGAAGCATCAAGTTGTTCCCTGTCGATAAGCTATGAAATATTAGACTGAACAAATGTTTTTCAAACCACTGTCAGCAGCGTGAGATAATTAAACATTTCCAATAGGTATCTTCATATCTAAAAATGATTCATAAAATTACGATATACTTTTAAATGAAGGCTTTGTTTGTAGTTTAGAAGATACATACTTACAAGGAGTTGAATACTAAGCATTCACCTGGCGGATATACGAAATTCAAATATTTCTGTACCTTTAGTCTTATCAATTTTAAACACAAACGTTTCCTGTCTTTAAATTTTACTCTATACCCTCATCATTTCGTCAAAGTTCGTGAGCGGATTTTTTGTTTCCTCAGCGGTTAAAGAGAAAAATTATATTACAAATATAATCAATAGTTTGGGGTAACAAATTGTGGTAATTCCTAGTGGTTACAAAAATTCCTACAACTAGTTTCGCTTATATCAATAATCATGTGTGTGAAATTCATGTTTTTTATTTAAACTTATTTTCGGAATTTTCCGCTTTTTAACGTATTCGTAATCACTTTGGAATATTTTGTGCTTATACTTGTAAAGGACGATAAAACGATTGTATTTAATCATCGATTACGTAGACAATTATTTGGAATGATGATTACTTGGAAAAATTAATATGGCGTAAAATAAAAGAAGAATAAATATTCGAGGAAAGTTGTGGCTAGATTTCACAATGGATTTCTACGATCTTCTTTCTCGCGTAATAAATTTTTATTTAGAAAACAATGAGATGAAGAAAAAAAAAATAGGCCCGAAATAATTTGGTAATCGGATGCACGCATGGCCACAAATATGACATCAGACTTTTTTGTAGCACGGTTAGTCATTCGTAAGTCAAATTGTATCATCGAATATCGATGACGAGTGTATACGTTTCAAACAGCGGAAGTAAGATTCGTATTTCATATCCTATTTATTAATAGGCAAGCAATACATTAGTTGTAACAAATATATATGTTCGTTACGATTTATCAAGAATTGTATACAGGCAGTCAGGATAGAGATGATTTATTAATTTAGACAATTAAAGTCAGTTTTTTTCTGGTTTGCAGTTTTATTAACAATATTTCGGATTACGTCGATAAATAATGTTGAAAGTTTATTTTTAAATATATATAAGTGGGATAAGAAATCGTAGTTTTTATTTGCAACAAATGTTTGATATTTTATAACTTAATAAGTAATACTGTATAGTATTTTTTATATATTAATAATGTTTTAGTATTTTTTATATTTAAATAAAAAACTAATTTTGAATATTTTTTATTTAAATAAAAGACATGTTAATATTTTTGTATTAAATATTCCTACATTACTAATTGGTTAACCCAATAAAAGTTAAATATATATGTGTGAGAGAGTGGTTCTATTAATTAATTTTTATATTATAATTACTTAGAAATTTTTGACCCACTCTGTATTTTTAAATCTTTTAGTTTCGACGCGAGATTACAAATGAGGAGATAATTTGTCTTCTTTTTGTTTATTCTTCTTCTTCATTGAAACTCTCTTAAGGAAAACAGTTCAAATTTACGTCCGTAAATTTGCACCTAAGAAAATATCATTTCCACCTAAACTCGTTTAGCACATTCCAATTAGAAATATTAAATATGAAGTGAATGGATGATAGAAATGAAGAAGCTTGTACTTATTGTTAGCTAGCTAAACGTGCACGAATGCGTGTATATTACGCTTGTCACGTGCGTTCATTCCAATAACTCCACATTCACAACGCGAAGCTGGTGTTAGGTGGTATCGTCTAACGTGTTCGACTACATAGATCATAAGATTACAAAAACTGATTCATAATGCAACAATGTATAAAAAGAATTCTTTTACCGATGGATTTTTAATTTATCAAATGTATCAAAAAAGTAAAATATAAAGTTAAGAATTTTTCATTATTATTAATTATTATTATTATTTTATTTACATATTAGTTATGTTTATTCTTATTTTATTTTATTATTATTTATTCATATTTTTCTATGTTGAAAAATATTAATCCTAGCATAGAAATAATTCTTTATTCGGTCAAATTCATCTTTATTTAAAAGAAAAAAAACAAGTTCTTGTTCGTCGAGATCGGAAACTTTTCGACCTGCATTATATACACTTTTCTTATTTACTATAATTTTATTTCAAATTTATTCGACTATATTATTTGTTTATTCATATTTATAATATATACATATATTAATATAAAACGAACATATAATAATAAATTAGGAAAAGTATAGATAAGTTTTAATACAAAATCAAATGTAAAATTTGATTTTGGCGGTAATATGCATGGCTGCGCAATAGAGCAGCGCGTTTATCGCGCAATCGTAGTGCGCAGGTCCCCGTAAAAAGCCGGGGGCGCGATTCGCCGTCGTTCTTCGGATACCACGCGCGCCCGTTCTCTCAGTTTCTATTTAGTATCCACATCGAATCGGTGGATACGTGTTCGATTTCCCCTATTCAGTGTAATACCCTTCGGGACGCGATTTTGATTATACTCTTCCACGTTCGTGAAGTAAAAGTTAACGATTAATTACTCTTAAGGTAATCGTTTAACAAGAGACGAACGTAGGCCTGAGTTTTAGTGAAACGTTTTTTATTTTATATTTTTGCATTTTTTTTGTTGCATTAATTTAATCACAAGTGCCATTGTGTCGATCCTTTCTCTTTGTTATCTTAAAGAAATTTTATTATATTTTTTCTTTTTTTTGTTGACAAATAATTTCAATCAATTCGTCGTCATCGATTACAGTGATCCTTCATCTCAAGGAAAATTAAGATTAAAAGGATGCATATCCGAGTGATCGCTTTGATTACTTTACTCCTCGTCGTTCAAGGTTAGTTTATATAAATATCATTATGTAAATGAATAATTAATAACAACAAAATAATTTTAAAAAAAGCCTTGGAATAATATTCTGACAAATTGAAATAATATATTTCTAATTGCACATAAGTTAATTTTTGAGATCTGAAGGAAGGGCTAAAAATTCGCAATAAATTTTATTCCACAGTATTGGTTTTTTTCCTCTCTTAATTGTATTCTAATTTTGAATATGAATATGTAAAACTCGTTTAGATATTAATGACACTGTTGTTTCAATGAGGCTAACTCGTGTATTTATATTAATTAAACTCTGTTTGAATTCATACCGTACGATCATCAACATCGTAGTTGACGATTCTCATTGTACATTCGTTCGTTGAAGTCCGTAAAACCTTTCCGGAGTCTTAACCATTGCAGAAAGAACAATTACCGATAAGAAAAAAAATTTTTAATTGTTTTTCCGCGTACGTTTACAGATATTTTTTTTCTATTTCTTTTTTATTTTCTCCGTGTACACCTACGCGGAACGAAGTCACAGAGGACACGCATGTTGAATCTATGATCAAAGTAACCGTGACCGTCATAAAATCGTTCTTCCACTCATCCCATCTTCCACTTCAATTCGATCGTAATTTTACATTTTACATTACAAACCCTTTTCCTGTTATTTTAACGAGAAAAATAATATTGCACCGAAAATACAAGGAAACGTTTATTTATTTTTTTTATTGTTTATTGTTTTATGTATTAGTCCTTAAAGTTTCTTGTTTTTTCTTACGTGTACGAAATTGCGCGCACATTATTCAGTCAAATAGACAGTAAAATAAACAAATTTTGTCCATATACAAATGGATTAAGAAAAAGAAAAAAAAAAGTATTGCCAAATATTTTTTTTCCTGGAATATGAAAGAGAAAGATAAACGAAAAAGTAAGTACGATTTGACCGTCAGTGTCATTCATGTTTCAAGGGAATTGCAATGAGTGAGTAAGAAAGAAAGCAAGAAAGAGAGAGAAAGAGATGGTTTGGTTCAGTGGACAAGATCGATTGACAAAAGATAGAAGGTATGAGAGTAAGTAAGAACAGAAAAAGAAAGAGAAAGAGAGAATGAGAGAGAGAGAGAGAGAGAGAGAGAGAGAAGTAATACTGGACGATAGCCGGTTCTCTGAATGGACTGAAAAATAAGATAAAGAGAAATAATGTAGTTGGTATAAACGTGATGCGAATGAGAGAGAAAGAGAAAGAGAGAAAGAGAGGGAGTAAGGGGCCAGGTGAGGAGAGAATGTCTCGTTCCATCTCTTTCCTTCTTTCTCTTTAAATCGTTCTCAGGTAGAAGAGAAGAAGGATGCTGCGCTGACGTGTTTCGGGAGTCCGCAGATGCTTTTTGGGGGAGAGAAGGGAGGATGAGGTGAAGCCGATGGCCGATGACTGGCCTGCTGCTGTTGCTGCTGTTACTGTTACTGTTACTGTTGCTGATGCTGTTTCTATTGCTGCTAGCCAACAGTATCCAAGCACGGGATATCCTTGCTAAACTTTTCTTCTTCGTCTTCTTTTTTTATTCTTCTTTTTCTGCTTCTTCTTCTTCTTCTTCTTCTTCTTCTCTCATTCTAGTTCTTTTTTTATTTTATTTTCTTATGGTGAAAAGAGCGAGAGAGATGGATGGATTCGTGCTGGTTTCAACGAAAACCCATGAACGTTATATATTTATTTTTTTTTTTTTCTTCTTCTTCTCATTTTTTTTTTCCTTAATAATAGGAGCGGCCTCTTTTTCTCGTACACCGGCTAAGGCCACCAAGGGCCAACTCGTTTCCTACGTGACGATCATCCTAAGTAGCCACCTAAACGCACCGCTCTCATAGATTAGGAATGAACAAATCTCACCAAGCCCTTTTTATTCTTCTCTAAGAAAGATAAGTTCTCTCTTAACGAGTTTAATAGAAAATATCTTTGGTATATTATCTGTTATGGTCATGGATCATTTTAATCTTGTATCTTTTTTTTTCTTTTTTTCTTTTTTTACACAATTGGATCACGTGTTTTTTTTTTTTTTTGTATTTGATGATTAGGTTCACGAGATCAGAAAGCTCGTCATTTTCTCATTAATTGATCATTTTCAATTGTAATTTGAAATTTCTGATTTTATTTTCGATAGAAAAAGTGATCCTTTTTTTAATTTTTTTTAATAATTGGATCACATGTTTGATATCTTTTGTCGACATACAATTTTTAATCGATTGCTCGTCATATATATGTCTCATGAATTTCGATCACGAATTTATACTTCATGAAAAAGTGATAGCTTTTTAAATAATTGGATCACATAAGAATATTGGTTTATTTTTTTTTTTTTTGTGATAAAATTTTAAATTGATTGCTCGTCAGATTCTTTCATATGAATTTCAATCACGAATTAATGTCTCGCGAAAAAATGATAACTTTTTACAATATTTCGCGATCGTATAAATATATTTATTTTGTTAATTAAATTTTTAATGGAACGCTCGTTAAATTCTCTCATGATTTTCATTCATAAATTTATGCTTTACGAAAAAGTGAACTTTATAAAGAATCGTATCTCATAGGTTTATTTACTTATTGATAAAACTTCATATTCCTGTGAAACCAATCACAAATTCGATTTTTTTTTACAATTTAAGAAAAAAGTTATCAAGAAAAATAAAATATTTGATATTTAATAAGAGATTGTTATAATTAAACGCGATAACTATCATTGCGTATATTATCTCGAGTTCAATGCACAATAAGTTGATAAGGTTAACTGATAAAAATAAGACAGAAGAACTAAAGAATACAACGGAAAACTTTTTATCAGAGAATCGCATTTACTTATCAACATACACACCTATATGCGTACAATTTTTCATAGTGTTAACTTTTGATTTGACTTGGTGATTCGAGAATGTGATATCAAATGGTTAGACTCTTCGTGATTTTTATAAAACGTTCAATGTCTCTCTTTGCGTTTGCATTTTTATCGGCACAATCGTTCACGTAGACCAAATAGAATCTTTTTTTTCCACATATATATTCTAATATTTTAATTTTATTTAAATACACAATGTTTGGGGAATAATTAAAATTTGATTAAAAATACTTGGAAAATAAATAATTTGTTTTAATAAACAATTATAGAATCCTAAGTTCAAATTCGATTGCACATCAAATGACTTATTCACAAATTTTAATTATCTTTAAATAAGCGTTTTTGAAAGAAACTTAATTTCAAAATTTGTATTAATAGATTAATGGACAAGTTATGACCCCACCAATGATTTTTTGATTTCTAATATCATCTTGATGAAAAAGTTAAAGTTAAAGGAAAAGAGGGAAGACATAATCATGCGTAATATGCGAGACACCTCGTATACGTGTATGTTGAACTAGTGTATTAGTTAGTTTTAATACCCATCATCATGTTGCGTAACGCGATAGGCATTACAAGGACCCATGTATTTCCCCTTGAAACGTTTGTTTTTTTTCCTTTAACTTTCGCGTCGGACAATCCGTTAAAAATTCGTATTCAAATGAACGTACGTTTTAAAATTACTCGCGTTTTCGATAGACGAACGAGTTGAATTATTTATCGATTGCGAACTAAGGTATTTTTCTATGGAAAACTGTTTACCCGTTAACATTAGTTCGCCGTTAGAAACGAATAGAAATCGTTGTTGCATTTCCACACATTAGAACATTCAAAATAATTTGTTTCTTTTCCTACAACATTGAAATATTACAATTAAATAAAATACATATGGATGGGTTGAAAAGTTTTGAGTCTAATATAGAAACCATTTTCTTTTAGGGCAAACTCACTATTATCATAAAAAAAAGTTTGATGCTCAATACTTTTCAACTCACTCTTGTATAATATTTAATATTAATAAAAAAACATTATATTTTTTATAACATATATTAATAATAATAATAATTAATATACTGCAGAATGTTATTGTCATCAAAATGTATATTATTATCAAATAAATATATAATAGATATATTACAAAAATATTTTATATGCGTATTAACCTTTAATTTTGTATTAATTTTCTTAAGCCTTTGAGCAAGAATGATTATTAATAAAGAAATGTATGTAACATTATGTATATATATATATATAATTATTATTATTATTACAAGAAAAAAGTCATTCTTATGAAGTGAAAGATAGATACAAGATAATAAAGTTAGTTAATTACAAAAACCAGTTAATACCTTGAAGCATAAGTAATAAAAAATCCATTGGAATGGCATATAAGTATACACTTACATGCATACGTATTAAAGGTGCGAAGGACGTGCGTGTAAAAAGGGGGTCAAGTTTTTATCGATAACTAACGTTTCCTAGTGTTTTCCGATTTATCGAGTTCAATTATTTTCTCAATTTTTAGGTCGAATACGAATGCGTATATTTGTAGATAAATTTCGTCAAGTGGGTTAAAATTATCACAGGCATAGAACACACACACACACACACACATACATATATTCGCTCATATTCTACATTTATACGTAGACACACTTTGTATGTAGAATATAATACGTAAGTTAGGAATATTTTATCTATGGTTGTTGCGTCACAAGTGTGTGTATCCCGCTTTAACCCACTAATTAAGTAATTGAGCTTTATTAGCAGAAGAGTGGGAGAAAATGTCAGCATATATGGGAGGTCAACCCGCATGAGAAAAACTTTTTGGATAGGAAGATTCATTCTCATTCTATTTCTCTCTCTCTCTCTCTCTCTCTCTCTTCCTAATGTTTCAATCTTTCTTTTTATCTCTCTATCTCTTCGAAGAATTTTCTAAGATTATCTCTCGAATGAACACCAGTTTAAATATATATCTATATATATATATATATGTGTGTGTATTACCTGCATCGGTCAATCAGAATGTTAGAAAGGACGTTAGAAATAACGTCAGAAAAGCTGTTAGAAACTATGAGGAAATGCGATACCACTCGTCTCGAGTTAAACTGAACGAGCGCATGGTTAA